GGGGGGGGGGGGGGGGGGGGGGAGGGAAGCAAAACCAGCCACCATTCCACTTTCAGCTTTAGTATTATTCCCCAACATTTTTCTTCCCATGTATTTTGAGTAGCTTTTCCTGTCCCCAACAGCTTTATGTGAGGAGGCAAAGCGTATTTTGTCTTCTGCTTTCATGGTTGTAGAATTTCCAGTTTAGGACTTGCTGCCAAGGTACGCAAGAGTCAAAGCTTGATTTGGCAAACTCTTTGCCTGGCATTGTAAGACTAACCATTCCCAAAAAGTGTTTGGGCATGTTTGATATTCAGTTTTATTTCTAGGTAATATTGTGTGTCACAGCAGTTGGCTTAAGACATCTAGACAGGATATTTTTAGCTAGGCTACTTTCTTTGTGCTTGTTATTTGATTTGAACCTATGGGCATGTCTGCATTTTGCTTATTTTGGGTCTTGGATCACCCTTCTGCTACATGAGCAGACTCAAGTTCACATGGACTGCTGTGATTATGGCAGCTAGAAAAATGGAAGTGCAGTCATGAAATGACTGTAGGAATGTACAGTTGTATGAAAGTCCATCATTCAATCGAAAACTGCCTTAAGTTGGATCCATTGCTCCATCTAGTCCACAGTTCTTTGCTCTGATTCATAGCAATAATACAAGATACCAATTACTGGGGATCTTTTAAATGTGATGGATATCCTTTACCACTGAGCTATAGTTCCACAAACCCACGTTGTTGTTTCTCTAAGAAATGACAGCTGCATGAATAACAGAAGAAAACTCAGCAGCAGAACACCTGTAGCTCAATGTTTGTGCATCTGCAGAAGATCCCAGGTTCCATTCCTGATATCTTCAGGTATCTACTACTTCCTGAAACCTTGAAGACTGTGCTTCAAAGTGCACAGGAGCACCCACATAGCACCTATCTGCTATTCCTTAGAGCAAGAATTCCTGGGGTCACAGGGGTGCCTTTAGCTGCCATGTTCTTCTGGGAAAGATTTGGTTTAAAGAGTTGCAGATAGGTGCTATGTCCACATCAGTGTGCTCTCCAAAGCACCTTTTTGCCTTTGATTATGAAGCACTGCACAGTCCTAATGAAGAGTCGCTACTAGTGCGTGCCAACTATACTGGGCTAGACAGATGAATGATCTGACTCAACAGAAGGCAAATTTCCTACGTTCCTTTTCTGAAGAGGAAAACAACCAGGCGCCCAAAACAAATTCCAGCAATGGATGTAATAATCTCTTCGACAAAAATGTATCCTTTTCCAAGAGTACACCCTGGTTCAACTTGTGATCAGGTATCGTGTGCCTCTGAAATTCATAATCTGCTGGGCAATGTTTTTCATATATTTGTTACAAATTCCATTTGCAGTTTTGATCATTCTGAGTAGATTTGTTAAAAGATTTCCATTAAGAAAAACACTCATCATGTTCTTCAAAAGAGAGACTTTGAGATACATGGCCCTGACAGATGACACATAGTATAGTTTGGAAAAACAATGACACCAGCTCTAATGAGGGTACAGGTCACTTAAAGGGAATGGGAAAACTTCAGTTAAATTCAGTAGTATTTTAAAAAAGAAAGCTCATCCCTAAGGGGCAAATCAAACTATGCTTACTAGATGGGGTGATGCATTAATATACAACTTGACTTGCAAGAACATGTTTTTAAAGCTCTGGGTTAAATGAAATGATATTCAGACCAAACTTTTACATTTTAAATTATGTAATTTGCTGCCACCAATTCATCTGTGATTCAAGGGTGGCACGTGTCTCACTACAGAGAGGCAATCTTCTATTTTAAAGTAACCCAGTCTAACTTCTATTTAAAGACAAAGTCTAAGAAAGAAGGGAAAACACTTTGCTTGCCAACTGTGAGCAACTGGATAGCAGGCCCCCAGCTCACCTGGTTATAGTCAGTCTTAACATAGTCCCTCTAGACTACGATGTCATTGATAGAACTGATTTCCATGGCTGAACCTATAAGAAGCAAGCATTTTGAAATGTTATACAGATTTCTCCACTGTGCTGTCTCTGGGGTTGGTTTGGTTTTGGGTTTTTTGGGTGTTATATTTCCTCTCCTTTGGCAGTGCATACAGGGCCATTTTGATAGGTTCTGCA